TTAAAACTACCTTTTAAATTGAGTTTCCCCTTTAAAAGGGGCAACTCAGTTAAAGTGTAAGCAAATCCAGTATCAAATCAAGACATTTGTGCTTTTTTTTTTGGTTAAATCAAACTGGTCACAGCTTCATCATACTGCTGTTCCCTACATGAACATGGAATTGTGCCTGTATGTCCTGAGTTCTGCAATAGTCTTGTAGAACAGTGATGAAGATTTCTTCAGAAACAAGAAATCAATCAATGCAATCACTGATGATAAATCTGTTAGAAAATTTATTTTCTGAAATTGAACAATTACCAGTTACCTCAAAGTACAGGCAAAAAATGAAAGCTTGATGTTATTAACTGAGTTTTAAAAGAGACTAACAATTTGGGGCTCAGACTGAATAATGAAGCCTGTACAAAGTATGTATGTACATGTCTATATGTAATGACTAGTATTTTGTTAGTTTTTTTTTTTTTTTGGTACTGTAAAAGTTTCTCTCTCTTAACTATGAACACAAAAACATATTCAAAAAGAAAACATGGCACTGACGCAGCTTCTTTTTTACAGCATCAGCCAGAATAAATTAAATTAGGCCAAAAGAAATTTTACTACTAAGGCAGTTATCTCTGGCTGCTCGTGCTGGCCTGGCTTGAGCTGGGGGTGGAGTGGGCTTCCCTGTACTGCTGACTCCAGCTCTGAGGGTCCTGTTCATGAAGCTGAAATCAAACACCAAATCATTAGTCACAAATATTCATTTTACCGACTCAATTTAAGAACAGCAGCAGGCAGCTATACTCTATGTACAGTGGTGACTTACTGACTGACACACCAATACTTACTTGACCCATGAACTCAAGGATTTTGGCTTTGGACACTTCTTTATCAGCACGTTGACCCCAGCGGAATTCATGTTCAACTGGCTCTGTGTGAGGGATTCGTACATACTCCAGGTATCTATACACACACACACACCCACACACACACACACACACCCACACACACACACACACACACACAGTAATCTTATAATTTCTAGGGTAATGTGACATGTTCCTGCACATTCATCAACAAGGCCTTGTTCAAGTATTCAACTAAAAACAGCCCTGCATTAAAAGAATGTAGGGGGCAGTATTTGTGAGGTGGGCTGGGACATAGTGCTTCAGTTCCCAGTAGTGGCAGAGAAGAAATAGAATACAGAAAATCCAGCTGGACTAACAGATATGGAGAAATTAGGGTCTATCAGATGACAATACATTGCACAGTGCTTTATAAGTATAGCAGCCTGTCTGTTTATAATACTAGCCAGGATTTCAAAATTCTAAACAGTTTTCATGGCTCCAACTATTTTAAGTTATCAAATTACATCTTAACCTGCTGACAACAACCAGAATGTACCTGTACCTTTGGCATACTGGAGGAATTATCAGACCTATATCAGAGATATTTACTAAACCTGTTGCAAATGACCATCAGCAAGGTCCAAAATTAACTTTTTGACTCACTGGCCAAAGTGGCTAGTAGATAGCCAAACTTGTTTTTACTGCCAAAATAATAAAATGCCTTTGTGTCACATACATATTTGCTTCAGGGTTTCACTCAGGTAATAAGGTATTAAGTTGAACACAAATGTACAAAGGCCAGAGCAAAATTATTTTAATATATCAATTAGCAGTTAAATTAATCAAAATCATTTTTGAATTAAAATTTGAAAGCCACAACACAATTCAAGCTATGTGCTATTAAGTGCACTTCAGGGACAAACAAAAGTAAATTTCAAGTTTTGTAAACCCATTGGATGCTTAATCACTTCAACCAGCTTCAAGCTCCTCCAGTGTTTGTCATATGCACAGTTAGGAAACATGTTTCCCTGTACAATGAAATTTTTACTTTGCCATCCACATGAATGCCACAAAATACAAATGAAATATAAAGTAGACGAATAAGTAAAATCTAAAGCAGTTTAAGCAGCAAATGCAGAGATATAATAAAAATATATAAGAATATAATGAGAATGTATGCTACATGGGAACCGTATGTGCAGTAGTAGTCAGTCAATTCTGACCACAGTCATACATACTACGAGACCAAATAAATTCCTGCAGTGCTGCTTTTCTAATATTTCTCCACTGCAAAGCCCCATTACAACTCCTCAGCAAATATTTACACATGCAATTTCACTAGATACAACCAACATAACTAAAAAAAAAAAACAAAAAAACAAAGAAACTATACTGGACATTAAAACAGGCATGTGTGACAACTTGATTTTCTCCAGCATATATTGATTTTATCTCACATTGATAAAAAGGCAACTTGGAAAGTTTTACTGCTTGGTGCAGAGGTTGAAACTGTATCGTGGTCATTTTTGGACCTACTTCAGGTCCATGGGACAATCTGGGGAGCTGTTGCTGCTACCACAGCACGTGAAGAGGTAGAGGAGCAATTACAATGACCTGATCTACCCAAATTGACGTGCAAAAAAATTAAATAAATAAAAGAAATAATCTCCATTGTGAAAGGACCTTTACTGTTAAGTGAGAGGGAAAGATACTGTAGCTGTGCCATGGTGAGCCCAGCAATTTTATTAGTGACGGGCAATTAAGTTTTATTTGCAAAATAAATCGAGTAATTTCCTCAGAACTGTCAACAACTAGGTAGATGGAATACTTGGCTCTTCAGCTGGATCTCACTTTAACTGTAAAAAAAAAAAAAAAAAAAGGTTTGTAATGCAAATTAAGTTTTGAAAAACATTGCACAGCACATCAAAGCCAACCTCCCTCTCACATTTGACCCTCACCAGTTTGCTTATATGGCAGATGCACGTTAGACGCCATTACTACAGCCCTCCACATACTGATGAGCCATCTGGAACACTCAGGGACCTACGTGAGGATGCCGTTTGTTGATAATTCAGCGTTCGATACAATCACCCCAAGCATATTGATCAACAAGCTGCATGACCTTCACTTCTCCCCTACAGCCTGTGCTTGGATAAAGTACTTCCTCACCAACCACCCACAAACTAAAATTGGCTTCTACTGCTCCTCAGCCCTCACACCTAGTACCAGCCCCACTCAGGGCTTTGTACTGAGTACTGTATAATTATGGGATTGGGATCTGTCTTAAGGAAATATGGCCTCTCTTTTCACCGTTATGCAAATGACATTCAGATATACTTACCTTTGAAGGCAACAAGAGGGATGTCATTACAGCTGTTTGACAGACTTGAAAGCATAGTTGGCACAATTTTACATCTCTACGAAAATAAGACTGAGTGTGTGCCTTGGCAAACATAACTGCTTCTGACCAGAGTCTGGGCCCCCTGGCTTGATGTGGTGGCAATTTTTATGATAGTACCCTTTTAGTGGTTATTTACCTTGTAATCCATTACTAGATGTATATCACATGATCGTAAACCTTTGCATGCCCTTGTGAGAGAGAAAAACCAGATGTGACCTGAGACCTGAGAGCTGGTATCCCATAGTAAATAACCTCCTGTTTGAGCATCTGTTTTCTGTTATAGTATGCTGGGTATAAGAAGGGCAGTCACATTCTGTTCATTGAGTTTCCCTGTAACAGACTGTATTAGACACTCTGTTCAGAGAAACCTCCTTCCTGCAGGAATAAATATGTAATAATTTTCAGAATTGATGTTAACTATTTATTTTACACTCACCGAGCTTCAAAAGATAATTTTTCCACAACACTTGACATCTGAAGTCAACTGTAAAAAAACCTAGGGGTGATGTTTGATGGCGACTTAAGATTTGACAAGCAAATCAACCTGTTGTGAAATCTAGCTTCTTCCACCTCAGGTTAAGTAAAGTCAAGTCATTCCTTTCCTTTAATGATTCTGAGATTGCAATCCATGCTTTTATCACTTCTAGACCTGGCTATTGCAGTGCTCTATACTATGGTGTTAACCAGTACTCCCTCACTCATCGCCAAATGGTGCAAGACGTTGCTGCTCGTCTTTTGACAAGTACTAGAAAATGTGCATATATAATCCTGGTACTGGCTTCCAGTCCACTTTAGAATTGATTTTAAGCTGTTGATTCTTGTTTTTAAGGCTCTTAATGGTTTGGCACTCTCCTTACTGAATTAGTGCCATGGTACAAACCTACAAGGTCCCTCAGATCTTCAAGCCAGTTTCTTTTAGAGGTTCCTATGGCCAGATATAAACCCTGGGGTGACTGTGCTTTTACTGTTGCAGCCCCTATATTGTGGAATACTCTACCTCTTAATGTTAGATCAGCTACTCACTTGACTACTTTTAAATCATTGCTTAATACATATTTATTTGCCTTGGCCTTTAATATACATAGTAGGGCCTGATGCATTCCTTTTAATTTACTGCATGTACAGTATGTCATCTGTGTCTGTTATTGTGCGGCTATTTTTTTTTTTGCACCAATCTTTATTCTATTTTAGTTATTGTGATTTTATTCTGCCATGAAAAGTAATTTGGTCAACTGTGTTTTTAAAGTGCTATATAAACATTTGATTTGATTTATGACTGTACACCCCACCACCGCATTCATTAATTTTGCTGATACCACCATGGTTGGTCTGATAACTTGAGGTGATGAGTCCGCAGGAATGAAGCGCAGAGGTCGTCAGAGTGGTGCACCAGAAACAATCTCTCACTCAACTTCCACAAAACAAAAAAAATTGAAATCATCCTTTACTTCAGGAAGCACAGGGTGGACCCAGCTCCAGCTCCACTCCACATCAACGGGGACCTCGTGGAAAGGGTCTCCACCTTCAAAATTCCTGGGGACCTACATCTCAGAGGACCCTTCCTGGACAGCTAACACTCAAGCAAAGCAAATGCAAAGCAGACTCCAGCTTCTGAAGTACAGCATCAACACTCCATTTTGAACCTTCGCTATTCCCTCCAAACAATAACAATGAGTTGAGAACCAGTTGACTGGGAGCTCTGCTCTTACTACCATTTAAGTCAGGGGCACTACCTGCTTTGTGAACTAAAACCTGATGCATAACGAGCTGAGAGTGTAGTGTAACAAACGCCAAACAAAGTGCGTTACCACATGTGCACACGCACATAAAAGATGTACTGCACAGACGTTACACAAATCAAGCAGATAAACCTGTGGAGGAACAAGAAAAAACTAGAGCAATGAAAATATAAAAGATGAGTGTGTCCAGAGCTAAAGACTAAACTAGTCGACTCTGCATTTCTCTCAAACACGATATTGCAACCATTGCTGCTACAAGTGACAAACCATCTCGCTGATGCTGAACTGAATAAGCTACAGAAGTGCTGCTCAAAGACAGTGATTAAAAAAAGTTTATTATGGTTATGTGTTGACTCAGCGCTTGGTTTAGAGAACACAAAGCTTAAAAGCGGGTTCAAATTATACTTTAAAGCAGATTTCAAAACCAAACTCGAGCCTGATGTGGCAGCACAGGCCCCTGTGCTTCCATACTCCCTTTTCCACCTTTTACTGCTGCTGTCTGTAGTGTAAGAAAATGTAGTACATCATTCACTCAAGATGTTATATGTTGCATTGGAATGCAATCTACAAACCATATGTGTTCAATACAAAACATATCAGCATTTGCAGTGTAGTTGCATAGGCTATATAGGAATGTAATTTTTAGAAGACAGTGTCTTTTTGGTCAACACTAGCCCTGAAACGCAGTAAAAGTCTGAGGTACTATTTAGAAAAGCATAAAAGAGCAACAGAGCGACTCTTTTCTATAGCATAGAGATGACAATCTTGATTTAACAAATGTAAACAATGCAAATTCTCAGGTCATAGTATGGTGAAAAAATGAAATCTGGACGTAGTTTTAGGTAGAAGACATTTCACCTCTCATCCAAGAGGCTTCATCAGTTCTGACTGGTGGTGAGCATGAGGTTTTTATCCCCCTGGGTGGTGTTTCAGTCCTTCGATGGCCAACAATGTCCCCTAACAACCGAGTTGTTG